TGCCATTTGCAACCACGTGGATGAACTAAAGTGTATTATGCTAAACGAGATAAGTCAGCGGAATTTAGAAAACGAAACAGAGGAACATGGGGTGGGGGGCAGAAGAGAGACACCATAAAAGAGAACAAACTGAGGGTTGTTGGAGGGTGGGGGTGGGGGATGGGCTAGATGGGGGATGGGCCTTAGGGAGGGCACTTATGATGGCACTGAGTGTTAAGTGTAAGTGATGAATCACTAAATTCTCTTCCTAAAACTAATATTACAGTCGATGTTAACTAATTGGAACTTAAATATAAAACTTGAAATAAACATAAAAGAATTTCAAATTTAATTGCCGTTATCAGTTATTTTCTTACCATTTGACGGCAGGAAGATGATGAGATTAGTTGTGCTCAGTAGCTTTGTAAGTAGATGGAAAAAATGATGAGATTTATACTGACCTACTAGTTTGGCTCTTTGTCTCTAATAATAGGAATAATACTTTGTTGTTGTTATTTTAACTGTCCTTAATCTGTTAAAAACCACCCCTTTAGAAAACTCTCAATCTTCATTTCTGCCCCAACCCAGCTTTGAGATGCGTGTGACACAGTGATTTTTCATAAGTAGGGTGTGGGAGGTCCGCCCTCTTCTGTCAACTCCATAAGAATTTTAATAATCCATTCTCTTTTCTCCCCACTCTGTCATTTTTGTCCACTACCCGAATATATGAGAACTTTGAATTTTAATGTTTATTTTCGAGAGAGAGTGTGAGCAGGGGAGGAGCAGAGAGGGAGACCCAGAATCCAAAACAGGCTCCAGAGTCTGAGCCGTCAGCACAGAGCCCGACGCAGGTCTCGAATTCGTAAACCATGAGATCATAGACCTGAGCTGAAGTCGGAGCTTAACGGACTGAGCCACCCAGGCGCCCCACGAGAACTTTGAATTTTAAAATTGAGCTTATATAAGTAACGTCTTAGAGTCGTAGAGACAGATGATCTTGGGCACGTAGCGTGTGTTTTCACGTACTTTAAAATCAGTTCTTCTTGCTCACGTGGATGAGAGCAAGCAGATACTTGGCTGCATTGGAGTTGAGGTCTTCCCAGGGCATGTTGATCAAGATTGTTTCCCATTCAGGAGGACCACATGTTTCTGTTTAGATTCATTGATAAGATGGTCATTAAAGTTGCTGAGGGACCCACAGTGTCCCTTAATAGTAGCTCAGAGAGTCCCTTTCCGGTTCTCTGCTGTATTGACTTGTGACTTTAGGAGATTCTTACAAATTCAAAGTAGAAGTTCATTAACAGATAACAGAAGTTCAAAATAGAAGAGTCTTCACCAGCTTTCTGAAACAACTCTTAAGGTGCATAAAAATGTAGATAAGCAAGCAATAATCAGTTGTGGCGGAAGTACGGAATATAGCAGTCTAATGACAGTACAGAAAACCTAGAAGCTTTCGATACGTAGAGTAGTAATAGGACACCGGTGGTTAAAAAGGAAGCTTTCTTCAAGTTGGAAAGCCTGAAATGTAGGAAGCAAATGAATATATTTTTAAGGATTAATTGAAGGCTTAACATATTTTGCGTGAAAACAAGGACTTTTTACACATTAATTAATATTGTGGTCCTTATGGGTACCCCAGAGAGTTGTGCATATGGTTAAGTCCTCCAAAAGCCAACTACTGCTTTTACAAGCTAATGGTAGACCTTTGAGGAGAGCTGTGATTTAGGTAGACCTGCAGTTTAATGCCAGTTAAATCATTAATTTCAACTTTGTTATGGTTGTTCTGATGTTTTTTTTTTTTTTTTCCTGAAGAGGAACTAGGGAAATGTGATTAATAAAATCAACCCACCCGATTAAATTTTGTTTTTGATGGAAATATTTCCTCCTGTAAAATTTAATGGCCACGAATTTGATTGCAGAGTGTATTTACCGTAACCAGACCTGTCCCCTGAGAGGCCGTTTAGAACAATTCCATTAGAATCCAGTTAACTAATCAAGATGAATGTCGTGGAACGTTATCAAAAAGGACTTTTGTGAAAATAAGTTCAGATCTGGGATGATATTTTGATACTCCTGCCCTTCACCACCCTCCCTCCAGAAGAGTCGGTTAGCACAGTATAATCTTACTGTCTTTGAAGCCCATGTTTATCACTGATTGAAGGTTTTTAAAGGTGAAACTGCTTTATTATGAGGTTATTTGGTAACCGTTGCCCCCTCGCATAGGAGGCAAAATAGTCTGACTTTCACCAAAAAGTGTTCTCATGTCCAGTAGTTTTATGGAGAAGTATTTGAGTGTTTGTTTTTTTTTTTTCTGAATAAGGAAAATTAAACAATTTAAAAAATACTCGTGCCAGACAGGACCCTTTAAGTCTTTTTTCTTTTTAATTTTTTTTACATGTTTTTTTATAATTAACAGCGAGAAAGAGACAGAGTGCAAGTAGGGGAGGGACAGAGAGAGAGGGAGACAGAATCCGAAGCAGCTCCAGGCTCTGAGCTGTCAGCACTGAGCCCGACGCGGGGCTTGAGCTCACGAGCTGTGAGATCATGACCTGAGCCGAAGTCAGATGCTTAACCGACTGAGCCACCCAGGTGCCCCAGGACCCTTTAGGTCTTAGTACTTTGTGCACGTGGAATTCATGAACACATTCATACATGATGTAAGAATAGATGTATTTATGAAATATGTATTGAAAACAGTACTACTTGGCAGGCAGTATTCTAGGTACTCGAAATTCAGCATTTAGAACAGATGAAGTTCCTACCCTCCCAAGAGGACAGTATCTTGGGGATCATATTCTGGAAAAGCGACCATAGGGTGCTTTCTTTCTGTCTAAAAGAAGAGAGGAGATTGCCGTCTTAGGTTCTACTCCAGCAGATGGCAGAGCTTTGCGTTTGCTTTATGAATGATGGGACGCACATACCCGGAGCGTAAGTGCCCAAGCTCTCTCTTGAAGGGGCTCACGAATTTTCCCAGCTTACTCAGGAGTTCGCTCCCACCTGAAGTCCCTCTGTATGTGCTTTTCGGGGTCCCAGCCTGCCGTGTATTGCAGCCCCCACCTGTCTTCCCCGCGGACTCCGTGCGATCTCAGTCTGTTGCTTTACACAACTGAATGTTGTGTGCATGTGTTCCGCTAGATTTTCTGCTCCAGCCAGGTTTGATAAACTCTTTGGTTTTAGCACAGTGCTTTATATGTAGTAGCATTTTATCATCGACATTTGTTGACTTCGAGCTACTGTCCTAAAATTGTTTAAAATCATAGCAGTTTCTTTAAAAAGTGTCCTACATTGAATTTTTTTTAATGCCTTGCATTTCTTGAAGGTTTTATCTTTTATGGTTAGAGTCAAACCACTCAGAGCATCAAAACCTTTATTTTTTTTTAAATTGCATAGATTATGCCAATATGAAACTTGTTGATAGGACTCCTTTTATGCTCCTTAAACATTATTTTTCATGTTGATGAGTGCCATAACCTTTGGGGCTTGGGGGGATCACCCTTTCTAATCGAGCACAATGATACTATGCCAGTGTGGCCGTATCTAACATTTACTATTTTTTTGAGTGAAGATGGTATTAGGCGCTGTTGTTCCTTGTTACGAGTCTCTTCCACCTTCCCTTCTCCAGAAAGTTTAAGCTAGGTTTCATCATTTCCATTATGATTTTTGTTTTTCTCCTGTTGAGTCGATAGCTATCAAAATACACAGGGAAGTAGTCATGGGAAGTTCCATTTTGTCAGCCCAGGGTTGTTCTTCTGAAAGCCTGGAGTTCAGCAGACACTTTCAATAGCGTAGCCTTCCCGCTGCGTAGCATTGTTTCATTTGGGATAAGCCTTGACCTCAGTGGGTGAGGCGTAGTGCTGGGAAAGATCTGTGTCAACAGCAAAAAAGTAAAAAGCAGTCACATTTTATGGAAGCAGTTGGATTACAACTATGAATTGTGAACTGTTCATATTGTATTAGTGGGTTATAAATTGTATTCAACTTTTATTCCTCAGCCTATCATTGGGATTAACTTGTGGGTCCTGGTGACCCATTTTAGGTTAAGTCTGAAGGATTCTATATAGAGAATTTTAATTTTTAATGAATTAAATGAAGTGGACCACAGAAGAGCAAATATAATTATCAAGTAATTAGTTGAAAACCCCTGAAAAGAAGGTGATTTGCAGGGTGCCTGGGTGGCTCGGTCGGTTGAGCGTCTGACTTCAGCCCAGGTCATGATCCTGCGGTTCCTGGGTTCGAGCCCCATGTCAGGCTCTGTGCTGACAGTGTGGAGTCTGCTTGGGATTCTCTGTCTCCCTCTCTCTCTCTCTCTGCCCCTCCTCCACTTGTGCTCTCTGTCTCTCTCAAAATAAATAGGCTTTAAAAAAAAGAAAGGTGATTCTCATTTTAGACTTTGTCTTCATGAGAGGTGGACTTAAAAAAAATCTCTTATGCCAAATATGCTTTTGTAGATTCTAGCACTCTTTTGAATGAAAGAGATGATAAATGGATATTACTTTAAGTACCTGCATTATTTATTTGTATTTTGATAGTGCTTAGTACTAATGTAAGAACGTTCATTAATATCTGCATCCCAGGGGCACCTGGGTGGCTCAGTCAGTTGGGCGTCCAACTTCTGCTCAGGTCATGATCTTGCGGTCCGTGGGTTTGAGCCCTATGTCAGGCTCTGTGCTGACAGCTCAGAGCCTGGAACCTGCTTCGGACTCTGTGTCTCCCTCTCTCTCTGCCCCTCCCCTGCTCAAGCTCTGTCTCTGTCTCTCTCAAAAATAAATAAACATTAAAAAAAAATTTTTTTTTAATATCGTTGCATCCCAGACTGAAATTTTTCCCTCACAAGCCTAAATTCTTCCTACTTTATTCCCTTCCCTTATGTACTTGTTGATTATGCATATCGTAATTAGTTTCCAACACTTCTGATACAAACAAGGATTTTTAAATTTAAGAAAATCTGGTTGTAAAGTAAGTCCCCGTTAGTTGATGTGGCGAGAACGTACATTTGCTAACCTTTTAATCAACACCGGCAGGTTTTGGGCCCTGCTCCCAGGTGGTGCTCCTTCCTGGACAACTTGACCGAAGAACTAGAAGAGAATCCAGAAAGCACAGTTTACGACGATTACAAATTTGTCACCAAGAAAGACCTTGAAAATTTAGGTAAAAAAAAAAAATTATGATAAAATATTTATAAAGTTGTTGGGGAGGGGGAGTTTTGAACATTGGGGGCAGTAGAGTCACGTTTTATCTGATTCTCCGCATCTTCTTTTTCTGCCAAAGCAGATATAACAGTCTGTGTACATTGTCAAGTTGGTAATCTCTGCTTAGGACAGATTCAGATAATTCAACCTCCCCAACCTTTTTTGTATCTTAAGTGAGGAGTAACTTTCTTGAGCACACTAGCTATGTATAGAAAAGTGTCAAGAAAGCAGTGATGTATTTTTTTTGGTACTGCTTTGAGTAAAAGGTTTTGAAAATATCGCAGAGACTGCACGTAAGTGATTTCTGGCTCCCTTTAAGCTTACAGAAGACCTCATCCAAAACTTAGAAACCCGATTGAATCCTCAGATACGTCGAATCTTAATAGTTCCTTTAGGCTTGAGGGTCACAGACAAGAAATGCCTTTTATCAGTGGTAGCCAGCACTCGTAGGGCTTACCATGTGCCGCGTAATATTCCGCACGTTCACATACAGCTCTTAATCCTCGCCGCTCCGTGGAGTGGCTACGGTTATGACACCATTTCGTAGACGAGGAAACTGAGGCCCAAGAAGGTGAAACGAACTTGCCAAAGACCCCAGTGATCGTGAACGTGAGGGTTTGGCTTTACACCTGGAGCACGTGCTTTTCACCTCAACCATACCGCCCCTCAGGGGAATGCGTGTTGCTCAGATGACTGGTACTACCCTGTAGGATAAGGAGAGCAGATCGAGCTGATCGAGTCGTGCCGTTGGAGAGAGGCCGAGTAAGAAATTTGCATGGAGAGCGGGCAGACTCAAAGGACCCATTCTTTACGAATCCAGGCAACTTAGGTGTCTGTGGAACAGATGGGTGTACAGCCGCAGTTAAGCGTTAAGAGAAAATAGAGTTGTGGCATAAATAAACAGAGAAGTTATTAAACCTTATTTTTAAGCTGTATTTGTTTTTTAATTAGCTCTAGCAGAAGGGCAGAGGGAGGGAGGCAGAGAGAATCTCAAGCAGGCTCCGAACTCAGTGCAGAGCTTGATACAGGACTGGATCCCACAACCCTGGGATCACGACCTGAGCCAAGATCAAGAGTCCGACGCTTAAGCAACTGAACCACCGAGGAGTCCCTTAAGGTGTATTTCATAGCACAATTAATTCAGGCAGAACTCATTTTCTGCCAGTTCCCACCAAAATAACTCTTTAAATGTTAATGTTTAAAGAGGAAAGACTTGTAGTCAGCTTTTTAAAAATGATCCCTGAATCAAATATGGTGAAATAAGATTTTCCTGCTTCTGGGCCTTCCTAAGCATTTTCAGTGTAATTTTTATACTTGTGTCTGTCACACTCACCTCCATTCTTAACATGGGAGGGGAAAAGTCATTGTTGTTTTGCAGGGTTTTAAAAAGACTGTGCTTAGTTCATCTTGGGTGCTTGTTTAGTCTCTCTTACTGTGTTTACTTTGGGTGAGGAAGGCAGTTATAAAGCATGGTATTTCCCAAAACATGTTTCATGGAATATTGTGCCAGAATGCTGGACAGAACGCATGGTGACTAACACCGTGGGCATCGGAGGAAGGCTGACGGGTACACGTCCCCCTCTTCTGCTTCATATCCGAGGGACTTGGCCAGCTTGTTTAACCCTGTTAAGCCTTGGTTTTCTCATCTATAAAATGAGAATAATGGAAAGAACATGCCCTTTCTACGTTATCATTGTGATAGCGTGCTTTGTGTTTGGAAATTATGGAAGATAATGCCCCCCGACCCCACCACCACTGCTCCTACCTGGCACAATGAAAGTTGGCAAGTTACTGTTGATGCCAGGAGTATTTTTTAAATTAAACTGATCCATGGAATCCAAAAATCTGAGAACCATTAGTATTAAGGATCTTTCTTTAGCAGTCTTTCATAGTTCATAAAGACTTTTTGTCACCTTTATGCTTAATATGACATTTAAAATAAGTAAGAGTGACACTGCTTAGAATGGACTAGATTTTCTCCATAGTTTTTGAAAATTAGTGGTTCTGGTCTCCAGAGTGAAATCTTCTGATAATCGATCAGAAGTGAAATTTTACTATAATCCAAGAAAACCTGTTTATTTTTCATCAAGATTTCATAAGGACCTGGGGCACCTGGGTGGCTCGAGTCCATGAAGTGTCAGACTTTGGCTCAGGTCATATTCTTACGGTTCATGAGTTCGAGCCTCACATCGGGCTCTGTGCTGACAGCTCGGAGCCTGAAGCCTGCTTCAGATTCTGTCTCTCTCTCTGTCTGTCTCTCTTTCTGCCCCTCCTCTGCTCTCACTCTGTATCTCTCTGCCCCCCAAAAAAAGAGTAAACATAAAAAAAATGGAAAAAAAAAAGATTTCATAATGACCTGCCCTCTTGTGATTAAAACTCTTTCCAGGGCTCGCACATCTAATTGGGTCACCATTTCTCCGGGCATATATGCATGGATTTTTCATGGATATAAGACTCTATCACAAGGTAAATAGAAAACTGCCCTGATTTTATGTGATTAATGAGCCATTTCTTTTCTATTTACTTGCATTTTGCAAAACATACTTGATTTGTAAGACAATCTGTCGGCATAATAGTCATGGTGTATATGAAACATGCTCTTAAATATGACTTTTATTTGTGAACTTTTTTTTTCCACTTTGAAAAGGTGAAATTGATGGTAAATCCATTTGCTTATGAAGAATACAGGAAAGATAAGATCCGACAGAAGATAGAAGAAACACGTGCACAGAGAGTCCAGTTAAAGGTAGATCTTGTGCTCACTGTTGAGTTTACCAGGGGAAAGTACTTAATTTTCATTTTGTATGTTATTCCAAAACAACCTGCCATCCGTTTCTTTGTCTTCCCATTTTTAGTTTACATCTGTTTCTAATAGTTTTGGTGTATCTTACTGGTCATGAGGGTGGACACTCTTTACAGGTTGATCGTAATGGATTCTGTGGTCATGACATTGTGGGAAAGGATGCCGGAGGGACTGATAGTGGCGGCCCTTCTAAGAAAATGTGATGGAGTTTTCGGATGAGTTTTCAGTGTTTAGGGTGTTGAGGCTTCGATAATTCCCATTTCTGACATTTGGCAGTACGGTAGGCTGTCTGCTTGGATCAGGGCCATCAGACTGTCAGGCCACCTAGTTACATTAATAGAATTCAACGTAAAGAATTGTCAGCCAGGTGTTAGAGAACTGAGGCATCTTGATAGTGATATGGAATAAGGATATTGATAAGAGAGGCAGTGGCTGCAGGAAGCAGGTAGCACGGCTGGGTGGGGGGCGGGGAGCACCAGGAAGGAGGCGGGCCCTGAGGAGCTGGGCTGCTGAGGCTACCGCTGGGACCCGGGCTTCCCAGGAGGGCCGCAGCCGGGGCTGGCGTCCTGGGGGGTGGTCAGAAAACCACAAACTGGAACCCCAGGCTGTGCTGACAATCTGTTTGCTGCCAGGGGGAAGAACTTTTAACCTTCGATGTTGGTCCAGCAGCCAGCAGGCAGGGACGCTGAGGCCCTCTGCTTCCCATTCTCTCTATTGCCGTGCTCGTTTGTAGCTGAGCATTGGTGATAGATGGACACACAGATGCATGCATGTGTACAAATATGTACATTTGCATGAACACACACGTATGTACGCACTCAGTACTAAAGACGCATGCATTCATACATACACATACGGGTGCATAAACACACATATTTGCACACAGTACTAAAGATGTACATACGTACATATACACGCATGTGCAAAACACGTATGTACACACACTGAGTACTAAAGACACATGCACGTGTACATTTACACACGTGTGCACAAATGTGCACACAGTACCAAAGACGCGTGCGTACGTACATACACATACGTGTGCATAAACACACATACGTACACACACTCAGTACTAAAGGCTAGTTGCTGGTATTTCCTTTTTCCAGATTACTTGTTTTTTGGGAGTGTCAGATGTGTGTGTGGGGGCAAGGGGGAGGCTGGGACATGGAGCACTCTTGTCCCCTTCTTTGCATTACTTGTCCAAGTTGTATTTTACAGGGGACATAAACACTAAGTGGGGAACAATGATGAGCTCGCAGCTTTGTCCTGAGAGCTGAGACTCACACCTAGAACTCCCCTTAGAAATCTGCCACTGCAGGAGCAGGAGATAGTGCATTTGGGATTATTAGTAGCGTTTTAGGGGTTCCCTGAACCCCAGCCAGGGGCCGCAGCGGCAGGCCTGCTGGCCTCCCGTTCACAGTGAGGGCCTCCCCCGGTGCGCTGACCCCCCGACACTGCTTCTCCCAGCTGGCTTCTCCATGCACAGGAGGGGGCCGCGTGAGCTCAAGCGCTCCCGGCGCTGAGGGCTCTGTCCCTTTGTGCGTGCCTGATGGCGTCCCCTGTGTCCGCATTCTTCCCTACTCTGGGGACGCCGAAAGTTTAAAAATGAGAATTAGACATCACCTGTTGGTGAGGTTGTACTTCTTACAGAACCGTTAACTTTTAAAGCTGAACTGTAGACATTTCATACACCTTTTTTTTTTCCTGCTGTTAGAAATTGCCGAAAGTTAACAAAGAGCTGGCACTTAAATTAATTGAGGAAGAGGAGGAGAAGCAAAAATCTACCTGGAAAAAGAAAGTTAAGGTAAGATTTTATAAGGCAGTGGAGAATTGATAAATTGTTTCTGTATTTTCTTAGTGGTAGCTTAAAATTATCTTTTCCCTTTATTCTTGAAAAATACACGTAGCTTCATTTCCCCCCTGCTTATAGGATAGTATACACTCAATATGAGAAGTTTGGAAAATAGAAAAGAACGTAAAGCGTGTCACTTATGTAATTCTACCCAAAGAAGGCATCATTAAGATGTTACTGAATTTCCTTCCTGTTTTACTTCTCTTAAAATTCTAAGCTATGATGGCGAGATAATATTGTGTACATATTTATCCTGGTTGTGTAAAATAACACAAGTGGTTTCCCATTTTATTAAAAATTCTTTGTAAATTCTTTGGAGAGCTGCATATACTCTCCTAAGGATGTATCGTTTACTTAATCCTTTTGCTGTTAAATACCTAAATTGTTTATTGTTTTTCTTTGTTCTGACTAGGTCTTTTTATAATTCCAGAAGTAGCGAATTTTTGTTTAGACTTGGCATTGTCAGGAGGTATGCACACTTCTGTGTAACTGCAGCTCAACTTCCGTTACTAGTGTGAAAATGGATGAAGATCAGCCCTGAAATAAACGCTTCATGTAGCTGACATTATCAGGACAGGGGGAGATTTTTCTAATCTTCCCAGATACCTGAAGACTTCCTCATCACCTGCTTCGAGCAGGCAGGCAGATAACTCAGCCTTGGCTCCTTACTAGAATGAGTTGTAAAGGTCACATCTCTCAGGAGCCTGCGGGACCTGACTCTGAGCAAAGGGCCTAACCTTGGGACTTTGGACCGGTTATGCTCTCGAGCGGTTCTTGTTTGCTTGTTTATTCTTTCTCTCTTCTCTGGGTAGTTTTTAAAGAGGTGAGTGAACATGAGATGAGCCAGCTCCTTGTGTGTTTATTTTTGTTCCAGTCTGTTCCAGGAATTGCCAGTGGACTACAGACGAAGGGTCACGTCGCTCACTAGTTTCTTGCTCGCTGGTTGGGTCATTCTGGGTGACCCTGGGCTTCACTGGGGCATAGTTTTTTCTTCTATAACGTGCAACGATGGGACAAGAGGGGGGCCTTCTTGGAGTGCTGTGATTTCTAAATGGAGTCACACTCACTGCTTACCCTCTGCCTCCTCATCCTTGCGCACCTTCCATCCTGGCCTATTACATTGAAAAAAAATTTTTTTAAGTTTATTCATTTATTTTGAGAGAGAGAGAGCGAGCACGAGTGGGGGAGGGGCAGAGAGAGAGGGAGGGAATTCCAGGCAGGCTCCACACTGTCAGCACAGAGCCCAACATGGGGCTCGAACTCACAAACCGTGAGATCATGACCTGAGCCGAAGCCGGACACTCAGCCGACTGAGCCACCCAGGCGCCCCGCTACATTTTTTTATTATATTATTTAAATCTTGATTTTCAGAAGCCCACCTTAAGTAAATACGTAGATGATGTTTATGCTTCCATTTTCAGTATGTGAAAAATATGCCAACATTGGAACAATTATTTAAACTTACTACATACCTTTATATGCACGTGCTGTATCTACGCACCCTCCTAACTAGCGTCAGGGCGTTAAGTGTGTACGTGTATCTTAAAGTACTAACGATGTGAGTGCTCCCTGCACCGCTGACTCTCCTCAGGGCACTCTCCTGGGTTTTCCTGTTAGCCCAGCCTGAGCTAGGGAGCTAACTTCTCAGCTTCATAACGTCTAATGTCATTTTGTAAGCTAAATGGAAGTGATCTTTGGGTTACAGGCCCTAAAGCTTCAGGAGGAAGAGAGTGGGGCTAATGGAGGATGCAGATATATGCTTCCTGTCAATGTTTTATGCTTACGGGTCTTTATCTATGTGATACATATGTAAATACTACAGAGAGTAAGACTAAATTGCAGTTTTGATACCTGTGCAGTGTGGTATGCTCAGTTCAGAAGCCTTTTAAAAAGGCCCTTGTGATTATGAAAATGTGGGAAAAGGACCCTGTTCTTGCCCCGCCATCCCCTTTCTTTCATTGAGTTTGGGGGCAGCCAGAGAAGGTTTATGACACATAGTGATAGTCCTCACTCTGCAGGGGGGGCAGGATGGTAAAAATGACTCTGTGAACGAAAGCATGCAAAATGATCATAAGAGCCAACGGGAAAAACCATGATCATTTGTGCATTTAAAATTTGTTGTGAAAACAGTAAGAGGGTCATCCTGTGAAGAATCCTCCATCAGGCTATGTACTATGGACAGGCTGTGTGCTGCTTCTGTTGCGGTGCAAAGAGGAACAGCCTTCAAAATTCTTATCCTCTCTCCTCAGACAGCATTGTGTCTCTAGCTGCTGGAAGTGCTGTCCTTGTAAAAGCTGTGCCACCTGATAAAATTCTGCTAGAAAGTGGTATTTGTAAAACGTGCCCCTAATTTGCTTCCTGACCCAATTTGGGGCCTATTATCAGGGCTCGGTTTCCAGCCAGAAACTCTTGAGTACAGTTTTCGAGAAATCTGAGGCTGTTCTTAGACAAAGCTTCTACGATCTGTTGTTTACATTGTCATCGAATTAAAATGAAGACCTTAAAAAGCCTTCACGAGCCGAGGAAAGAACCCTTCATAATGGGCAGAATACTTAAAAAAGGTCTGTTATGTCTGTCAGCAGTTCTCCAAACCCTCAGGAGCTCGCACAGCTCTGCTGGCTCCTGATTGGAAAGTCAGTATGGTTTCGTGCTGCCTTGGCCCCAACTGGAATTTCTTGGAGGCGGACAGTGAAATACGTTTCCAGATATTGCCGCCCCTCATGACATAACTAAAGCTTAAGAAGGTGTGTACTGTTCAGTTGATGATGGACCTGCGGTGGGAAGGGGCCCTCCCACCGAGTGGTTAGTGTCAAGAAGCATCATCGCCATCTTAAGCCAAACGAAGGCACTTGGGGGCGTTAATTGTAGTTAAGTGAGAGCCAATCCATCTGTTCTCTCAACAAGTGCGAATTGACTTCCCGTGTGCACAGGCAGCTTGGAGAGGTGTGGCACCGGTGAGTAACCATTTGATCGGGAAGGGTTTGAGCCATTTTCCTTACAAGTGCCATTCCCTGGCTGTTGGCCTCTTCTCCCAGTTTGTCGCTGTTGCCGTAGAGTCTTGTGTGGACGTCCTTCTGCTGGATTCCGCTGCGGTTTAGTCCCGGGTTGTCCTGCCGCACATCTCCAGGCCAGGCGTGCTCTGGCCCGGAGCCGCGGGGCGGTGTCTTAGCCCGGGGGTTATTCCATACCATTAAGAGCAGGTCTTAAAGTCATAATTCATCTCTCTAGGGAACAGAGGCAGCCGTGCGTGTGTAGACACCGGGCTGGATCAGATCGGCTTTAACATCCCAAATACTATCTGTAAAGTCTTTATAGTACCAGTGAAAAATTGCTCTTGGTTTTTATTACAGTTTTACACATGTAGTTTTAGGAACTAAATATTTCTCCAGGGTTTGTTAGGAACGGTGGCTCTCCCTCTGTCCTTTTCCTCCTCCACCTCCTCCCTCATTTTCTCCTGTCCACAGATACTTTTGCCTTTTCAGCTAATTATTTAGGCGTTAGACTCCCTTGGGTCCTAATACTGCCCATGCTGCTCCCCCCTGACTTTTAAATGCCAGACCAGTCATCTTACCTGTTTCCATGACCTTCCCTCCCGATAAGTTCTATTGCAACTTGGGACGCTCAGCACCCGGCACTTGCGTCAGGACCATGCAGGTGCTCTTTCCACCCAAGGCCGAGTCTGGAGGCAATTCATGGTTACATTTCCCGTCCAGCCTCCGTCTTCCCTGGACTGAGTGTTGACTTTTTGTTTGTTTTCTGTGTGGTGATCACTAGTTGGCCCTACTTAACTAGCGGTAAACTAGTTAACCAGTTTGCTGGCTCTCTACATCTCCTCGCAGGGTATTTATATGAATATCGGTTTTTACATTAATTTTTCTTTTCCTGACGGAGCGTCTTCTACATGTGTCGGCCCCGCTCCGTTCTGGACTGGTCACCTCCGAATGCTGGTGCGCTGCCGGCATCCTGGGGATTCGCTCCACTTTCTCCCCATGTTGCATACAGGACCTTTAGCCTTTAGCTTTCTGAAGGAATATTCTCTCCAACCCAGACAAGCAGGCAGTCAGTGTAAGGGTATAGAGTGAAGAGATTGTTCAGACATGCATGCTGTCAGCAACAGCCACACATTACATTTATGTGCTTATTTTCCTCGGGAAATTCCTTAGGATTCTCTCCTCCAAAATAAGGGAGTCGGGCAAGGAAGAGGAAGAGTGGAGAAAGTGCCCACGGGGGGCTGAGCCTGCACCGGGGCCTGCCTTCCCTCTGTTAACCCAGCCCTCAGTGCCGGCCACTGTGTGGGCCCTTTGAATCCAGAAACAGGCTCTTCGGTGCTGGCGGAATTTTGGGGGGGAAAATTTTTTTTAAGTAGTTTTTCCCCCTGTGACCTCAGGTCATTTGTTTATATTTAAGAGTGAAAGGTCTAAAAAGCTGAATGGCAACTCTGAGGTGGGGAGGCAGGACTCCCCACGCACTGTGTGGTGACCTGGCCACGCTGTTTCCTCGGGGAAGCTCCCAACAGCAGTGTCTTTTGGCCTTTCTCTCGGCTGGTCAGGTTCTGCTGCCTGGAGGGTGACGCCCGGCTCCTAGCATTCTGAGAACCCTAGTCACGGCGGCTTGGGGGGAAGGGTGACATTAGTGTGCAGCCCCTTCGTGCCACACGCTCCCCTGGCCCTCAGGGTCCTGCTGTCCCAGAGGACACGCCTCTTCCCCTCCAGGGAAGAAGCCTCTCCGTGGACAGGGCAGGTTTGAGGCCTGCCTTTCTTCTTTCCAGAATCTCACCGCTCCTGTTTCCTTTTTTGTCCTCCTCATCCTTAAGGGTCGTGTCTTCACTTAAAGTCCATTTTCTGTTGTTTTAATGGAGTTGGCAGAGATTAGAAGGAGATGTGTGTGTTCAGACCATCTTTACCCAGAAGTCTGCGTCATAGCCATCGCGGCATTAATTTCATAGATATCATAGCATTAAAGGAATTGACTTGTTTTAAATATGAAGCATTCCTTGTATGTTACTGTGTTGGGACAGAATATTCAGAATAAACATCCTACTCAAATCTTGGAAGCAGGGCTAGGAATAATGATGCTTCCAGGTGTTTTCACCTTTGAATGGCAGGTGTTGAGCATATGTACATGTATCTTCCTAGGGTAGATAGCTACCCAGACACTTACAGACTACTGTAGAATATCACTCATCTTATCCTACTCCTTTTTTTTTTTTTTTTAAGTCAGCTGTGAAAACGAACAGACTAGGAAAAATCTCCAAGGAAGATATTTTTATAACTAGGTCCGAAGAGTTAGTAGTTCATAATTGTTCATCCAAAACATAACTTGTCTTTAGGCAGTACAATTTATTTTTGAAGATTAAGAAAAAAAAGTTAATGCTAGCAGCGTATTCTTTTTTTTAAGCTTTTTAAAACTTTATTTTTGAGAGAGAGACAGAGTGTGAGTGGGGGAGGGGCAGAGAGAGAGGGAGACACAGAATCCGAAGCGGGCTTCAGGCTCTGAGCTGTCAGCACAGAGCCCGACGTGGGGCTCGAACTCACGGACCGCGAGATCGTGATCTGAGCCGAAGTTGGACGCTCAACTGACTGAGCCACCCAGGCACCCCACAGTATATTCTTTTTTAACATGTTTCTCTGGTACTAAATATGATTATTTAATAAATACAGTAGGATGAAAAGGAAAATATTTCTTTTAGGGTTCATTCATTCATTGTGTAAATGCATGATAGGCTAACCGCTATTCATTTGAAAATACTTGGATCTTTGGCAATGTCACCTATCCTATATTTACAGGTAACTCTAAAAATGTGTACAATTTTGCCTCCTTCTCTCACTTGAGACTGCTGCGTTGTTCCCAGACATCTAATGGTGTTCATCAGAAACCAGATGACATTCTCCTTAAAGATTAAATTTTTTTTTTCAGAGCAGTTTTAGGTTTACAGCAAAATTTAGGGGAAGTCACAAATATTTCCCATATGCCCCCTGCTCCCACACATGCACCGCCCATCCCCCACTCCACATCCCCCACCAGAGAGGACATTTGTTACAATGGCTACACCTGTGCTGACACATCAGAATCACCCAAAGTCCACAGTTGATATTAGGCTTCATTCTTGGTGTTGTCCATTCTGTAGGTTTGGACGAATGTATAATGACCTGTTTCTACCATTAGAATATCACACAGAGTATTTTCACTGCCCTGAAAATCCCATTCGTCCCTCTGTTCCCCCCGCCCCAACCCCTGGCAACCACAGACCTTTTCACTGTCTGCATTGTTTTACCTTTTCGGGAATGCCATGTAGTTGGGATCATACATATGAAGTCTTTTCAGAGTGGCTTCTTTCACTTAGTAAAATGCACGTAAGATTTCTCCGTGTCTTTTTAGCACAGAATGCCGTTCAGTTGTCTGAATGCTCCATGGTTCATCCATGCACCTACTGGAGGACATCTTGGTTTCTGGAACATAATTTCTCGTCCTTCACTCCACCCTACACCTTTTTCTGATGATCTTCAGTGATGATGGGTCCCCACTCCTGGTAGCCCTGACTTTCCAGTCACTTACGCTAGACTTCACACCCTGCTTTTCACTCTCCCCCCTCCCGGCTCCTCTGTAGCTGCATCTGTCCATTCTGATGTGGAACTGTGTCTCGTAGTCACCCTTTCCTCCAACCGTACTTGTTCCCGCCCTTAGATCCCACCGCTCTAAGATAGGCCCCGTCTCTTCTCTCGGTTTCCTAAAGCGGTCTGGTAGTCACAACGTGACTGGTTTCTCCCTCAGCAGTCCATCAGGCACCGCGCTGCCGAGGGCTCTCAGTGCAGAATTCTCCTTGTCACCCAGGGGTCCTGGAGCACACCTCTGTCACCTCTTTCCTCCTCCCCCTCTTCCCCTCCTGAGCAGTCCCCTCACCTATAGAATAAAGGGCACGGTCTGACAGTGTTGATTTCCGTTACAGTCTGGCCTGATCAAAACATGCTTTTCCAAATTTTGTCATTATTCTTGTGTCATCAGACTGTTCACCACTCCTCAGTGGGCTGGAAATGCTTTCGGCTTTCCGTCTGCCGCATCCCCGATGAACCCTTCTCATGTGCCTCCTGTTGGCGTTACCCTTTACCTCTCGCTTTCAGAGCACTTGCAACTCTGCCTAGCATCCCTCGTAAGGAGCCTTGCGGCGTCCAGGCTTTTGTTTCTGTTACTGTGTTTCTGTTTCTCCTTAGATTACCTTGGGATCAGGAACTGGATCTTACCTATCTTTGTTTCTTCCTTGAACCTAAATCTGTCTTGGAAATGATATTTAATCAGGGAAGACTTGTTCGGTATATCTTAAATATGTATTCAATGTGTCACAGAAATTTAGGTTAAGCGTTTATCAAATTTTAGGTGCCTACCAGGAACAAACAGCCAAAGTCCGTCAACATCTCACGATTTGGCAGATTTTTGTGTAGCCGTATTCTACGTACCACGCTCAGAACCCAGCTGTTTCCACCCGCCATGAACGGGTTAGCCTATTCAGCCCACGTTCGGGCTATTTACAGACCGTATTCAGTAGGTTGATTTGTCTGGTTTCCAAACCTATAGCAGATAAAAAACTATAGGAGAGCCCTGAGTGTAGAAGATTGTCTTCTGTTTGCATGAACAGATACATTTATAATACATTCTAGAAAAGTTTCTGTTCAGAACCCTGAGCTATTCAGATGAGTCTCAATAGCAGTTTTATCTTGTCAGGTTTACTCTGCGTCCGTTGTGAACAATTCAGTGGCCTACGGAAAAAATGAGGCCATCCTCTAAGAGGTGGAAGCTTCCCTTACGTTTCCAAATCACTCAGAGTCAGGAAGCTTCCACCAGCAGCTCCCACCATGTTAATTCTTCTTAGTATTAGTATTATTCCCTTCGCAGTTTTCAATGAAGTTGGAAGAGTCACTAATTTTATTTCAGTATAGTAGCTCTGCCTAAAAAGCTGTGTTTAGAAACATGTATTTCCTTGAAGTGTTGTTCATGAAAAAAATGTTAATTGAGGAAAATTCTGTTCAATATATTAAGCATAAAGTTAAGCCAAAGAGGTTTATTCTTAGCTCATTATGTTGAATGGCCAAGTAATACATACCGTCTGAAATGGATTAATAGAATTTGTGAGTAGGAGATAAAACCCAAGGGCAGTTGGAAAGTTCTAGAAACGAGTTCTAAAGAAGTTCCCTAATAATTAAAGTAATGCCTTATGCAGCTTATTAACTTATAATTGACAAATATATTTAGGCCATCTTTCTGGTCAGATTTTATTCATACTAACTTTACATTCCTGCATCCTTTTTCTCATAGAGCCTTCCTAATATTCTCACTGATGATCGATTTAAAGTTATGTTTGAGAACCCTGACTTCCAGGTGGACGAAGAGAGTGAAGAATTTAGGCTTTTGAATCCACTTGTCTCAAAAATTAGTGAAAAAAGGAAGAAGAAACTAAGACTGTTGGAGCAACAAGAACTTCACGAAAAAGTAACGTACTCCTTGTCCTTGTGTTTACTCGTGTTTCGTTAATAGAGTTTTCTGTGCGAGTTAGAAGAGCCTTTCAGACCCTTGTGATGTAATTTGCTTGACCTTCAGCTTAGAAGTTGATCTTTGACGAAAGGCCTTTTCTCCAATGCGCGATGTCACGTATCCCAGTGGGCGACTGCTGGTCACCAGAAAATAACAGGTCGGGGTTTGGCGGGGGAAAGGAGCTGCCGCTTACTATTTTTATTTTCAGGAAGAGGAGGAAGAACCGGAAGGAAAACCAAGTGATGCGGAAAGTTCTGAGAGTTCGGATGATGAAAAAGACTGGGTCGAAGAGGTCAGGAAGCAGCGCAGACTTCTGCACCAGGAGGAAAAGGTGAAGCGGCAGGAGCAGCTCAGGGAGGACCGGCAGACGGTCCTCAAGCCCCAGTTTTACGAGATCAAAGCAGGCGAGGAATTCAGGAGCTTCAAAGATTCTGCCACAAAGCAGAAGCTGATGAAGTAAGTAACGCTGCTCTCGGTGGTGCCTCCCCGAGTTGGCCGTGTGGCCGGGGCCTTGCTTTTCCTCTCCGCCGTGTCGCCCCAAGGGTGGATTTGCATCTTTGGAGTTAATGTCGGGGAAGCGCCATAAGGCTCGAGGGGAAATAACACTGTCTTTATTGAGATGACTTTTAACAGCGTTTTGGGGTGGTGTTCACATACAGTAAGACCCGGGGTCTAGCCCTCTGGGTAGTGGCCAGTATAGTGAGAACACTTGTCCACCATAAAAGTCACATAGCTTCTGTTGTCCTTGTTTTTTCCCCGTTTCCCCAGCCTGCAAATATCCATTTTATTCTCTGCCCTGCAGTTCAGTAGTCTTCTGTACAGTGGTAATTAACAGGTAACACATTCTTTCCCTCTTAAAAAAAAGTTATTTTTTTAATTAGAAGTGCAGTTATATTTCTCTCTCAGCTTACCTGATTACTGAAAAAGTCACTTGGACAATTTGGCAGAAATTTTAAGCCTTTTGCGAGAGAGCTGAGAGACGAGCAAAAGTGGTATTCTAGAATAGTCACATACATAGAGACAGAGAGTAGCATGGTGGTTACCAGGGGCCGGGGCGAGGGGGAATGGGGAGAAATCACTTTATGAGTCGGGAGTGGTGAGGAAGTTCTGGAAATGGGTAGTGATGATGGCTGCACAGCAACGTGAATATAGTTTACCACAATAAAAAAGTGAACATGGGGAAAAGAAAAGGTATTATTTGGACAGTTTCTGTTGTAGGACATGACAACAGAATTCTGTTGTACGTATTATAGGACAGCTTCTGTTGTGTCTAGGTAAGGAACAGGCTAGGTCCTCAGTTCTAGATTGTGTACGAGCTGTAAGTTGTGTAAGTCTCTGAGGATTCTTGGGCTGAGTATTAATGTGTAAGATGAGAGTGTGATAGATGGTCGTGATAGGTGATCTCGAAAGAAGACCCCAAAGGTGCGGGGAGTCCGCCGGGGGCCGGGGGCGGCGGGCCACATGGCGAGGTGTGAGGCCCGGCTTAGTACCACTTCCGTACCTGTACTTCTCCAGCTCCTGGCTTCCCGTTTGGAAAATGTGGTTTTTCAGAGGCAGGAAGTAGGGAAAGGGTGGAGAGGACATCATTGGACAGGCTGAATTGTTTCTGGAACGGAGATCTGGCTAGTCCTGTTTATCTCACCAACTCCTAGCGAGCATCTGAGACACCGGATGTTAAGG